TTTCGCCATTAAAGAATATGAGCTATTTCCTCACACTATCAAAAAAAAAAAAATACCACATTCAAAATGAAGTAATATTGAATACTTTTGGCATACCATAATTTGCAATATGAGGTATCAATACAAATTGGCCAAAAAAAATATCTTTGCCCATGGTTTATTAGTGCCATAAACAGTGGGCATCACAACTTGCATGCCACCCACTTAGGTACGAATGTAGCTGGGGTCCATTTCTTTCTTTTTTTTTTGACAACGAGTGCTTACTTTTTATTCAATGGTAAAACACAACAATGCACAACTCATAAAAGAATAAAAGCAACAATCAGGGAGTCCAAAAGAACCCCTTTCTTTGTAAAATTATGGCTCAGCATAGCAAAAAACAATCGAATAATTAGAATCCCTCCCTATATACCCCACACCCTGGCCCCAACACCCCCCCTCCCCCCCTTTCACTCTTGCATTCCCTGTTACCATAAGAGGATCCATCAAAATTAAGTTTTACACCCCCCAAGAGGAGGCTGCCACCTGGATTTTGATCTCACCTTTAAAGTCTTATAAGATACAATATTTACCAAATTGAGGAAAATATCCACCTTCAAAGCTTCATACTCTTCTTTAGTAATACTGAACCAACTCCAAAGAGTATGCATAATTTTATTTTGAAGCCCTTGAATCTCCAAAGAAACTCCATCAAAAATTCTTCTATTCATGTCAAGCCATAGCTCCCAAATAATTGCTCCTATGAAAATATCCTATATAATCCCTCTCAATTTTGAGAAACCAACTAATTTAAGATGATACAACACATTGATCAATGAACCTAGCATAACCATATTCACTCCAATTTTATTTATCGCCCATTGCCAAATGAGAAAGGCAACTGAGCATGAAAAGAAAAAAAAAAAAAATCATCATTCTTGCAAAAAAACCGACATTTACTAACACCTTCTTTCTTTTTCTAAGATTATCAATGGTGAGTGCCTTACCTTGAATCATAACCTAAATAAATCCTTGGACTTTAAAAGATATCTTCTATTTCCAGATCTCTTGTAATTCTGTGTGCTTCCACCTAATCTGTTAATTAAAAAGTAGAGAGTACACAGATCTTACCGAATAAACACGATCGGCTTCAAACTCCCAAATAGCCTCATCAGTTGGCACATTAGAAAGATGCACATCAACAAGCATCTTAAGTAAATCAGTTAGTTGGTCATAAACCACATGCAGAATCCTATTATACCCACAATTGATGTTTGGATACCCACAACTTCTCCTCCATTAGACTCACCAATATCACTAACCTTAGCCAAAGGGTTTTGAACATCTTTGAAATAGGTTTGGATATACAAATTTGAATGCTATAGCTGAAGCCCACTTTTGATGCCAAAACAATATTTCCTCGCCTTTCCCCATAGACCACCTCATGTGCCTTATCGCAAAAGACAATATAAAGCTAATCGACTTCCACACCTTTCTCCATAGACCACCTCATGTGCCTTATCGCAAAAGACAACATAAAGCTAATCGACTTCCACACATGTGACTATCGCGACCCACCTCTGCCATTGTAAATAAAATTATTAAGTGGAACAATTCCATATTTTGCAGCCTAAAATTTCTTCCATAAATGATCCTTCGGTTCTAATGCATGCCACCACCATTTAGCTATAAGTGCTTGGTTAACAATCTTAAGCTTACAAATGCCCAAGCCACCCTCCCTTTTAGGTGTACACACCCTATGCCAACTTACAAAGTGAAACTTTCTAATGTTGCCAGCTGACCCTTATAAAAAATTCTGCATTAACTGCTCAATCTTCTTAGTAATGACAGAAGGCATTACCAATAAAAACATCTAATAAACAGGTAAAATTCTAGACCCCAAAGATAGATTCATAGCCTTCCACAAATCAAGCTTCACATGTGCTTGCTTAATAACAGGGTCCCACATCTCCCTTGGCAATCTAGAATCTGAAAATAAGCATACCCAGATACGTAAATGGGAAAGACTCAAATTTGTAATTCATAACCCCGGCCAATCGAGTAACCAAGGTGGCATCACAACCCACCCCGATAGTTGAAGTCTTCCCAAGTTTTACTATCAGATCGAAAGCTACTTCACAACACCTCAAAAACCTCATGATGTATATAATTTGATTCAACTGAACCCCACAAAAAATGACGGCGTCATCAACATACTATAACTGAGATATATGTTGGGCTTCCGAATTGACCTGGAAACCACAAAACCAATTCCTATTTTCCACATTTTTTACCATGAGCCAAAAAGCTCCCCCCACCAAAGTGAAAAGAAAAAGAGAAAGAGGATCTCCTTGTCCAATATGCTTGAAGCTTCAAACACGCAACAATCCACTTTCTCTACAAAAACCCAAATCCCATATGCCTAAGAATCTCATCCAACACTTTCTACTCTACTTGATCATATGTCTTCTCCATACCTAGCTTGATAAGAGAATCTGGCTCAATACTTTGTATCTTAGTGTGGATACATTTTTGAACAATTAAGACTCCATTCATAATCACCCTCCCACTTATGAACGTTGATTGAGTTCTGGAGACCAACAAATGTAGAACCCTTTTTAGTCTTTCAGTCGACACATTTGAGATGATTTTGTAGAGGCTATTCAGCAAACTAATTGGACGAATATCATTAATCCTCGAAATCGAAGGCTTCTTAAGGACTAAAGCAATAAATGTCAAATTTATCCCTCTATTCAGAACACCCCTCTCTAGGAACTCATTGACCATCAAAAGCAAATCCTCTTTCAATAAAGACTAAAACCGATGAAAGATAACTAATTGGAACCCATCAGGTCGTCCAAGAGCCTTGTCACCTGGCAACATAAACATTGTACTCTTAAAGTCTTCTATAATCCCTTTTGTTTCCAAATCCAAATCCACTTCACGAGGTAAAATTTTAAAAGGTGATCCATTCAAGTTAATATGAAATGGAATTTCAGAGGAAAAGGCCTTTGAAAATGATTAACAAACTCGATTTCCCAAGCTTCCGAATCCTCCTCATTGACTCCCTGAAATCTAATACTCGACAAATCATTTTGTCTCCTTCTGACATTCACTATTGCATGAAAAAACTTAATGTTCATATCGCCTTCCTTCAACCATTTCATATGTGATCGCTGCTTCCAATAAACCTCTTCCATTTGCAACAAATTCGCTCACCTAATACCTCAGCCTACACATGACCCTTAGCATCAATAGAATCATCAATACCTCCAACTCTACCAGTAGTATCTTCTATTCGATGCGTAATATTAAATTTGTGGTCCTTTCTCCATTGTAAAAGGTTTTGTTTTAAGATCATCACTTAAAAAACTCTATACCCAGCCCACCCCAACACTACAGTTGTACACCAAACATCTTTGATAAGATCTACAGCCTTTCTCACTTCCAACCATGCCACCTCCATTCTAAAAGGCCTAAGACAAAATCAGTTTGCAATAAAATTGCAGTCGTCTGAGGGGAATTTTCCTTTAGCATTCACGTTTGCCAAAGGAAATTGAGATTCCCAAGTAGTTGAATTCAGAAAACGATCCAACTTGATCATGAATATTTATAATCTCATTAAAGCATAGGCGGGGTTCATTTATATCGCAAAAAGGGCAACATCCATATGAGGGTAATTGCTGCAAGTTGTTAGTAGCAAGTTGCCTCATCAGTCCTCTTGAAGCTATATTACCTCCAGATCACAATAGAGTGTCTAAGAAGGGTAATTTTGAAAGATAGAACAACTATTTTATATTGAGGGCCCATATAGCTCCCTCGAAAATAATTTACTTGAAAATTCCATGGAGAGAAAGATGATCGACGGTTCACCAGAGAAAAAGAAGGCATATGTTTGTAGGAAGGCATGATGGGGTAAGAAGAAGATTCATCTTCGGAAAATAAATTTTTAACCTATAATGAGTTGAAAGATGTACTCTAAAAAATGACGTAAAAATGGGGATGATTGGAAGATTTTCCTCCCGATGTGGTCGTCAATCATTGAAAATAATTAGAGATGCCTCCTTTCCACAAAAGAATATCCTGGAAATTAACTTTCAAGGACCCAAAAAACCTTAAATTTAAAGTCCCAATATACGATTACAATATATGATTATCCAACAATCATATATATGTGCACAATTTAGAGCAATATATCAATGTATCCAAAGGAAAAGGGATACGCTGCATTAAAACTACTCGGCATTATCACCTTCTTGCATACCAAGCGACGTTCAGATGAGACAGTCAAAACAGTTTCTATTAAGGAAGGTCGTTAATTGAAACTAAGTGGAAGAAAGGTTTTGGTTTTTATATGTTTGCAGCTTGTAAAGCAGATCAAGCTATTTCTTTCTAGGTATATCCAAAAGGGATTAATGTTTGTTGGCCCTGCTTTTCAAATTAAATATTGGACTCTTCAATGGATGTAAGGCAAGACTCTAATGCAGAATTATCACATCACAACTTCCTCAGCATGTCCCCTTTTGTTATTATAGGATTGTCTACAAAAATACCATTTATCTTTTGTTCATAGAGGTCTCATTAGATGTCAAATTGAATGGCTTGCGACGAGTCACGAAATCCGAAATTTTTCTTTTTAAAAGCTTGTGTATATTCAATGACGGTTTTACAGTAACCCATTTTGAAATATAAGGTACATGAATGATTGTGACCTCCAAATACAAAAGATAAACAGTCTCTTTGTAGACAATCCCTGTTATTATTTGCATTCATTAGTTGGGACAAGGATCCGAGAATGAGGATGATAATAATGATAAGAGCCAACATAAACATCAACATGCCAATTTTATAAACTTCCATCAAAAAGACGTGTGAATGCATGCTACAATTTGTTGAATTTGTAGATCCTAATGAGCCACGATGATGAGGTTTCTGCAGAGTTGCATGCTTTTTTAAAACCAGTTTTTTTAGATTTGGTGTCTGCTCAACAGTCTTATTGGTTAGACCACTAGTCCAGTCCATTCTATATTTTATGGATTCCATCACTTTATTGTTTAATGCCATGCATTGGAAATTAGTACATGCATGGGGCACACAAATAAAGGCTACGAAAGAACCACAACAAAAAACCCATCTGCCAATATCAAATATATACATATCCACAAAATAGTCTTGTCATTCCCAAAAGCTTACTGCCCGCTATGAAGCACGAGCTGATTCAAACACCAGTGTATGCTCTCGAAACAAACTCCCTCCACAAACCGTTGCTTCTTCCAAACCATGAGGCTTGTCCTCACAAGAGCTGAACCCAAGGTTCAACCTCTTAGCTTGAGGTTCGTGTATAGGGTTCCAGCACTCGACCTAGGTACAAATCCCAGCTTAGCGACCCAAAGACTACCTAAAAAGGCTGCTTATGGTAATGTCAAAAATTGAGCCAAGCAGAGCCCCTAAAAAATGCTCTCTTCCGAGAACAAGCTTCGAAAGGAAGCTTTGATGGCTAATTCTAATGAGTTGTTACTTACGACTGAGATCATGCACCAAGGCCTTCTTCAACTGTAATGGAGCTGAACCCAAAAGCTCAGTCTAGTCCACCTGGGTGTTCAACAACCCATTCAAGATAAACACAGAAAGGGAACAAAATACCACTCAATCCTTCTCGTATCGAAATTTTCAACATAAAACTTGCTGTCTCACTCGTCAATGTCGACATCCAGCTTTCTTGTCTGCCTGTTGAACATATCAGCAATATCCATAGCAGTGGTGCAATCCTCTGGTTTCCTATCGGTCACTGTACGTATGAATCTTGGAAATCGTATCGAAATGCCCCGTGAGGGATGCACCAAACCAAATGCTGCCTGGTGAACTGGAGATATCGTAAGGTCTGCCATGCATGTTATTTCATTTAAAGTCAGTAAGTCTGCAAAAACAATACACAAGAAAAACCTGATTCAAAGGTCAAGAACTGGAAAAACAACATCCAATTCTTGATTTTTTTTTTCTTTCCTTTCTTTTTGGATAGGTGCTGAAGGGTTTCATATTAAATAATATATTTTACCTGCACCTCTTATTTCCCACACAAGTTCTGTAGAAAACCAAAAGTCAGGCTTGTCAGCCGTCTGGTAGTATGCTGGTTTCCTGCCTAGAATCTTATCCCCGGAGAAGAACTCCTCCATCTACAAAAAATATAAAAATTAACTATACAACCTACTTAAATGACTTCCTAAGAACATGGATGACTAATTCCTCGATTGAAAAGCTTGTTTAAAACATAAAAACCATAAAATCAGGGGAAAAATCAAACTTTAGGTGGCACAGGTTTGCTCATGGACTCACTTGACACTACAAGGTTTGTAAAGGAGAAACAGGGCAACCCCTTGCTCCTCACAAAAACTCACAATGTTCTCACAAGTAAAAAAAATTAACTTTCTTAACCTCCAAAATCCATCTCTGGAATATTTCTATCTGAGGCGGTATTGTTGGCATGTCATTTTTCATCGTACAATAGATACGTGATGGGAGCTGAGACAAACATAATTTACAAAGTAACTCCCAGTTTGTAATTCGCACTAACTAAAAAAACCTGAAATATGCCTAAAGGATCAAACAAAGAAAAACAAGAAAAACCTGCAAATGGATCGAACTAGTAAATGTAGCTTACAAGTCAAACTCCATAGCCGCACCTCTGGATAAACTGCGAAACCTTAAAGAGAACTCAAAAACCAATCTCAACCGTATCGTAACCTATTTATATCCTTAACCCTTGCCAAAACACAATCTGGACCATCCATTACAAACTATAAAGCACAGATGCAAATAAACAACAGGAAAGAGGGAAAAGACAATGTAGTCCAAAATGCTCAAAAGATGAATCCACCCCTCATTCGTGGTTCGCACTTTGAAGGCAATTTTCAAACCTCTAGAGGACTGTTTTGACAAAATTGGTTTCTGCAATAGGTTTTTTGACAAAATCGGTTTGTGCAATAGGCAAATCAGGTATAGGGCTCTAAAAGGGCTTTCCATGGAGTACCAATTCGCCATATTTTGAGCTATGGGTGAAAAGTTATACAATGTCAAAAGGAATGTTGCACAAAAACCGCAGACATAAATCGCCCCTAGTTAGGGAGGACTCACCCTCGAGTCCTGCTTAGCCATGAACCTCCATGCTTCCTCATCAGTCCGTTTTAGGTCCTCATCTGAGATCCATGAAAACTCTGACTCTGGTTTACACCTCCAATGGACAAGGTATTGATCATAGGAACCACACCAGTGATGGTCCGAATATCCAAAACCCCATGAATAAGTTAGGCAGCTGGGCTTCCCACTTGGATTCACCTATGCTCACTTGAGCTCCATTATACTCGTAGAGGTCAACAGCATTGATGAGGGATATGCTACATCGGGAAGCTCAATTTTGTAGGCATTGCTGCCTATTCTTTGTAGGACTTGACATGATCTTCTCGTATTTCAGCTTATGATAGGGCAAACTGGAAAGCACTCTTAATGCAGGTACACCATCACTGGCTATCCTTCATTATGCTCATTCTCTTGGTTAGCGTCATCCTTATAGTTAGCATAGTTCGCCTGTAGCTTCTCTCACACCTTATGGATGTCTTGAAGGTGCTCGGCTAGAGCCTCTGCATCATAATTAGCTCGTTCTTTCTCCGGAAGGGGAACCACATCGAGCACTATGCTTGGCTGCTGACTATATATGACCTCAAAAAGGGATCTTTCAATCGACCTATTGACAGTACTGTTGTAGGAGAAATCTGCCTGGGATAGGGCCTGATCCCACTAGCCGGACTTGTCCCGATTCGACTCCAAATGAGAGTGCCCAGGTTTCAGTTCACCAATTCAGTTTGACCATTTGTTTGCAGGTGGTAGGCACTGTTGTACTGAAGTTGGATTCCCAGCTTCCTCCAAAGAGTGCACCCAAAGTGAATCATGAACCACTGATCCCCGTCTGAGATGATAGTTTTGGGGACTTCATGGAGGCAAAACACATCCTTGAGGAATAGATCAACTGTACAGATTGAGTCGAGGGTTTTCTTGCATGGGATGAAGCGTCCCATCATCAAAAACCGATGCACCATGGCAAAGATAGAATCCCAACTTCTAGCAGCGCAAGGGAGTCCCACCACAAAATCTATGCTAATGTTTGTCCAAGGGTTGGAAGAGACGGGCAGAGTTTTCTTATAAGCTTGTGTTTTGAGACAGGCCTTTGACCAAACTGGCAAGTTTTATACCTCTCCACTAACTGTTGAAAATCTTGTTTGAGTCTAGGTCAATAAGACTTACCTCTGCACCTCAATATGACGTCAGAGGTAGGAACCTTGCTTCCCTCTTGCACACATTGATTAACAATTTTACAGAAATAGGGGTCAGTGTTATATAGCTGTGGCAGGATACCGAATCAAACCACTGAAGCTGCAAGGGCTCCAAGCTCCAAATTAGGTTATTCGGCTCAAAGGATAGGCCACAATGTTTTAGCTGCAAACCTTGTGTCGAATAACAAAGGTGAATCCTTGTAAGTAAGAAATGCCTCATGATCTGAGAACAGAATGAAGTCTCATTGTATGAGACAGTGCCACCGGTGACGCTGAGCTTGCAAACAATGGCATAGAACCCAACATCTTAGTTGGAAAACATTAAGCCTTGGTCTCATTTAATTTCTCACTGTAGAAAGCTATTGGTTTGCCTTCTTGGTAAAGGACAACCCCATTTTCCACAAGGGAGGCATCACAGTTGCATGAAAGACCTCTCAAAAGGTGGTAATGCTAGCACAGGAGAATTAGTCATCTTCTCTCGGCAGCCTCAGGCCAGTGAAAGGCGTCTTTCTTTGTACAGTTGCTCCTACGAGCGATAACAGTTATAATATTCTTGATAATCTCCTGTAAAAGGTAGTGAGGCCATGGAAGCTTCTTACTTCCCTGTGGCTTTTGGCATCTAGCATTCTTCAATAGCTTGCAACTTGGCTTGGTCCAACCATACCCCTTTTGCTGACACCACAAATCCCTAGTATATCAAGCTATAAAGGAGCACTTCTTCATATTTACAAACAGTTTCTCCGGGCGCAAAACCTCAAAAACTTGCCTCAAATGGCTGAAGTGCTCTTTACAATGGAGCAGTAAACAAGAACATCATCAAAATACACAACAACAAATTCCTAATAAATGGCCAAAATACTTGTTACATCACCCACATGAAGGTGCTTGGGGCATTGGACAATCCAAATGGCATGATGAGCCACTCATACAACCCTTCCCAAGTCTTGGATGTGGTCTTCCATTCATCACCAGGCCAATTTGAATTTGGTGATACCTGCTCCTCAAGTCGATCTTGACGACCCTTAAGCCTGCTACTATATCAAGTATGTCATCAAGTTGTTGGATTGGGAAGCGGTATTTCATACTTATCTTGTTGGTTGCCTTGTCGTCCAGAAACATCCGCCACGATCCATCCTTCTTGGGTATTAGCAAGGCAGAAACAGTGTAAGGGCTTGTGCTCTACCTAATCAGCCCCATATCCAGTAACTCGAAGACTTGCCAAGCAATTCCTCATGCCCTTATAGGCTCTTGCAATTGTGGGGCTGGTTTGGACAACTGGCACCTCCCTCATAGGAGGCAAAGCACTAGGCGACTCCTCTGGCATAACATCCTTAAACTCACAGACCAATGGCCCTACACAGTGAGGATAGTAGTTGGAGGAAAAAGGTTCTTTTGCTTATACATGATCCCCTGCTCTCAGTACTCACCCAAAAATTGATTCATAGAGTACGACCTCACTTTCCCCCTTCTTAGGGTCAGATTGGATATCCTCTTTCAAGGATTACAGGGTCCTCATAAGGCATACACGATTCCCTGCTCCAGTCCTCACCCAAACGTTGATTCATGGAGTAGGACCTCACTTTCCCCCTTCTTAGGTTCAGGTTGGGCATCCTCTTTCAAGCGTTACAGGGTAATTTTAACATCATTTTTCCAAAAGGTATATGTGTTGCGTCTCCCATTGTGTATGGAAAAGCGGTCATAATGGCATGGGCAACCCAACAAAATGTGGCATGCATCCACAAGAAGCACGGTACACCAAACTAACTCGTAAGATTTCCCAAGAGTAAAATTAACCAAATAAAGTGGTTAACAAGGGTTTCGTTGCCTCATTTAAACCAAGAGATCTTGCAGGGCAGAGAGTGTTGTCCACACTTCAACATGAGCCTGTCCACCATCTCCTACGACACCATTGCCGCAACTCCCACAATCGATGATGATGGTGCAGACTTTACCATGAGAGGTGCATCTGATGCAAAAGATATTTGTTCGTAACTAAGGCTCTTCGACTATCTTCGGGGCCGACCATAGTAGCCTAATTATGTGCAACTCCCCTCATTCATATACAGCTCTGTTGCACCTCCTTCTCGTTCATTACTAGGTCCCTCATCATAGAGGGGATCCATTTCAATATACCCCCATAATCCTCGTCCGCCAAAATAAGGCGTGTGGTGGGTTGCCTCTTGGGGCACTCGAAAGACCACATTGAAAAAACCTAATGCTCTGATCTCGAGCTTATGAAGGCTTGGTCATGGTCAGGTTCTTGTTTTCCCTATCCCCGGGCCAAAAACGAGGGTCAACTAGCTCTAGCTCCCTTAGATTAGCACTACGCCCTTTCGTGGCAAAGGACCCTCGGTCAGAGAAGAGAACAGTAGTGGTTCTCTTCAAGTTCGCCACAGCCTTTAAGGTAATTGATACGCTTCATCAACATTGATCGCCCGATGTACAATTAGCTCATATTGAATTTTTGAGTTTCAAGGCACTGAAGTAGAGTGCTATAACCTGATCATCATTTGTGCAAATTTTGCCTCAGCTCGTCAGCAGGTAAACTCGTGTGTGTGTGTGTATATATATATATATATATATATATTCTTACACACTCTTCTCCTCTTGGCTCAAATGATGGAACCTCTGGTATAGACCTTGGGCGTAATCGACCAAGACGAACTTTGCTTTTAAACATGATTTCATCTTCCTCCAGGTCGAAATTTACTCATTCCCTCTCTCCAAGTTACTTGCCTGCAATTGCTGCCACCAATGAGGGCATACCCCTCCATCTAGGTGGCTACAAACTTCACCTCCTTTTGCTCAGATAGCTCCTTCCACTCAAATCTCTATGTTAGCAAGCCAATTTAAGAAGTCCTCTGTTTGTGGCCAACCAGAAAACTCACGTACATCAACCCACATGTCTTTATCTGCTACTTCCAAGGATCGTACTAGATGCTCCTCGAGGGACAGGTCAGGGTCCCTCCCCTAGTTAAGAAGTGGAGCTTCAACCCTCCCCTGGTTATGAAAGGGTTATCTTTTCCAGACTCCGATTCATCACTCTCACGGACAAGCAAACCCTGCTTGGAATGAGTTTGGCACACCTCTTGCACCACTTCCTCAAATCACTTCAACAAGACATCCTTCATAGGCCCAAAACCACCACCATGGCCGTGGCCTCCACGAGCTCCTCTAGTGGTCATCGCGCACAATTACAAAGCATCCAAGGTGCTTTGGGAGTCGACCCACTCAGATAACAGTTGACTGAGGAACGATCAGGCAAAGTAAAACAAGAGAAACCTGATCAAAATGGTAAAGGGAGCTTACAAGCTAACCTCCATAGCCACACATCTGGATAGACCAGGAAACCTTAAGGATAGAATTAGAACTCAAAAACTAATCACACCCTTACATCATAACCTATTTATAAATTTAATCCTAGCCAAAGCACAATGTGGATCATCCATTAAAAAGTTCAAATCACAAGCATAAACAAAAAGCAAGAAAGCAGGAAAAGACAATCAAGTCCAAAACAACCAAAACAATAGCTACCCTTAATTTTTCTGTTTACGCTTGGCCAATTTTGGGTCTCTAGAGGTCTATTCTGACAAAATCAATTTCCGCAATTGACAGAACAGGTTGAGACATCATAGGGCTTGAAAGTGCTTTCTATAGAATATGAATACGCCCTATTATGAACTATGAGCAAAAAGTTACGCACTGTCAAAGGCACGCTGCCAGAAATCATGTACATCAAATAGCTTCTGTGAAATGGTAGCTGTTAAACTTTATATATTAATGAAATTTTCAGGATATTCACCTCTATATAGAAAGTATCTGAAAATCCAGACATGACACGACACACACTTTGGAATTCTTCTGTGTCCGGGTTATAGCATGCCATGAGGAAAGGGCTGAACCTGAAATACAAAACCAAGGTAATTTTCTTCAAGATAAAATTTTCTCATAGAAAAAAATTATAGGAAGCAGTTGTTATACACATCTCTTATTACCATCCTGCTTTTCTTCCATTCCCATGCCAGGCCCCAATAGGTACTAAGTCTAGAGTGTCGTTTAAACCCTCAACATAGTCTCGTTTGACCTACAATGTTAACTTACTCTCATCAGATTTTCGTAAAATTTCAGGCCAATCATTCCAAAAGATTTGTACATGATAAAAATAGGAAAATGATAACATAGTAAAATCCTTTTCTAAAGATCTAATCAATAAAACCAAAGAATAAACCGGAATTATCAAAGAACCTTTAACCATGTGTCAGTACGCTTCGAGGCAGCATACTCAGCATCAACATCGAGAGACTTCACTATTATTCCTTCACAAGAGGAGTTAAATGCATCTTCGAGAAATGAGTTCATCTTAACCACTGTAGCCAGAGAGCTCAAGCATGCTTCATTTCCCTCCACCTACAAACAACCTGTTGTAAGGAATGAATAATCACAATTGAGGGTAATCATAAACTGAACTAATACAAAAGGATTACCGTCAACTCCTTTGCAAACTCCAAGTAACCACGATTTTCATTGTGAAACAAGTCCTTCACATCTACATTTCAAATATATAGACAAAAGCAAGTTACCTAATATGAAGAAATCTCAAGGGTAGAGAACACACTAAGCTTTAAGTTAGTGATACAACAAACTTTACAAAATAAAGGCACATACACTGTCTCCTTTGACGTAGTGGATAATTCAACAACCTGTGAAAGCATGACTTAGATAAGATTACTCATGTTAATGTCATTATCTATTATGCAAGAAAATAACTCTTTTGATATATGTAATTCTCAGCATTCATACACACGTCATTGACCTCTAGATAATCAAGTTTGATTTGCTCTTATTTTCAGATATCATTCATAGTTCAGAAAATTAATGAGAATCATTCAGTTCACAAGCAGAAATGAGGTAATAATCAGGTTTAACTAATCCTACTACCTATTTTTCTCAAGTTTTTCATGTCCCTTCTTTTTCTAAAAATTATCTTTCTTGGTCTGAATTGCAGTATGACTGAAAACCACTGTTTCTAAAACCAGTAGGGGCCTGAATTCCCCACCGATCTACCCCCCAAAAAAAAGAAGAAAAACTACAGACAAGATCATAATTATTGGGAGAGAGAACTGTAGCGGGGCCAGAGGATCAAACCATGGATGAGGTTCCCTACCTCAGGAGTGCCTGAGAACGTTCTCAAGGAGCAGTCCCTAGAACTTATGTTACAAATGAATAATTGTACTACAATTACATTGGAAAACTCTATCTATCTATCTATCTACTAAAATACATGCGAGCATGGATGCTTAGGTTGGCCCATGCCCCAAGTACACTACCCTCGTCACCACCCTCTAAATCGAATTTGTTTGACCCCAAATTTTGAAAATAGTCTTAGAAAATATGTGAACAACTTAAAAAATATATATATATATATATAGTAAGCCACTACACAACGCCTATGAGCGAAAATGAACAGTGTTTTCGCCCATAGGCTCTACACCATCCGATTTTTTCGGACGGTGAGGATTAAATACCACCACAGACCTAGCACGTCCATGGTGAGCAAACCGTCACAGAAATAGCAAGTCCATGGTGGTAAAAAAACATATGGAACCTCCACGGACCACACGTCGTTCAATAAATTGCCACAGACATAGCATGTCCGTGGTGAGGCGAGACACTGTCGCAATTCACCTATAGGTGTTTTTAAGACTCTTCCATATATATATATATATATATATATATATATATATATATAGTAGAATAATACTACTACTACTTACCTTA